TAAATACTATGTCAATCGGAGATAGTGTTGCTACCCAATAGTAGTTTTGTAGCAATCAAATAATCTTATAAATGCGAATGTTTAGATGGATGAATAGATGGATGGATGTTTGTTAGAAGATATCTCCAGATCTGCTTAATGGATCTCGCTGAAATCTATATATATAAAAGAAAGTCGTGTTAGTTACACTATTTATAACTCAAGAACGGCTTTACCGATATGCCTGAAAATTGGTGAGGAGGTAGCTTAGAACCAGGAGACGGACATAGGATACTATTTATTCTTTTTTTATTTTAATTTTTCAAATGTATGCCTTAAAAAGCTGCTTTTTATTTAACTTACTAATATAATAAATGCGAATGTTTAGATGGATGTGATGTGGATGGATAGATGGGTGGGCTACACTAATTAAGTTTTTTTATATATCCACGCGGACGGAGTCGCGGGCGACAGCTAGTTTGGCATAAATGTGGAAAATTGTCTAGACGAACACATAGGCTACTTATTATTTTTTTTTTATTCCGCGCGGGTGAAGTCACAGGCGACTGCTAATTTTAGTAAAGACAACACCTGACTGTGCCATTGTGATAATCATCTGTAAACGAGAGGATTTGAAGTATCAACCTAAAAAGATAAGAAAAAATGATTGTAAAAATACATTGCGATCCTACAAACTGTCCTTGATGCAATTGTGATAACAAAATCTTTTCATATATCGTTATCTCTGTACTTTCACGTATAATGATTACAGATTTGGTCGTATGCCGACATTGATCATGTGCTCGGTGGGAAGCTGTGTCGGTCTGTTGAAAATCTTCACATCGACCTACTCCGTGTACGTGTTGATAGAAATGCTGGAAGCGACAATATCTAGCGGAGCGTACACGGCTGGCATGGTATTAAGTAGGTTAAATACAGACAGAATACATCGCAACACACACTATTAAAATACTACACAAGAACATACACCTTGCACTCTTTAAAATATAGCGAGCAACAGGGCTGTATTAACCAGATTGGGCGCCCGAGTACAAAAATTTGTCGGGCGCCCGATTACAAAGACTAGTCGGGCGCCCTCAAAACTCTACTCATTGGCTGGCGTCCCGCAGAGCCCGGCGCCCGCTCGCCTCCAAAATGCCTCGCATCTTTTACATTTAACGAGTTTTATAATTTAACAAGTGACTGCGATGGACTTTTTCGGGATCTCTTGAATACAAATCTTAGTGTTAAATACTTTTAAATTTGTATTTCTTTTGTATTTCAGTGATAGAAATCGGTGGTAGAAATAACAGAGTTTTAGCAGGAGTTATATTCGCTTATGCTGTTTATCTTGGAGAGACTTTTTACGCTATCATTGCGATGTTCTTGCCTTACTGGAAACATCTTGTCGCAGCTATTTACACACCTTCAATAGCATTCCTATTACTAATATTTGTATTGAAAGAAAGTCCCCGATGGCAATTACTAAACGATAAAACTGAAAGTGCTAAAAAGACACTATTACTAATAGCAAAAAAGAACAAAGTAAATATAGATAGAGAGAAATTGCTTAGTATGAATGCAGAGGATTTGAAAAAGGAATATAAAATAAACAGTTATGAAGAGAGAGAAGGTTTTATGGCGATATTTAAATCTAGAGAGATGATTAAAAGAGCTATAGTCGCTGTGTTCTGTAAGTTCACAGTTGGCTTCGTGTATTACGGCTTGATGATAAACTCTGTGTATTTACCTGGCAACAGACATACTAACTTCATGTTAGCCACCGCCATGTCGTTCCCGGGTGAGCTGATGTCTTTGTACTTAATGACTAAAGTGGGAAGAAAATTTCCATTGATATATGGATTCTTATTATGCGGTATACTCTGCGTTGCGACTGGCTGGGTACCTGAAGGTATAATACATTTTTCTAAACTAAACATGATTTTATTACACTGGATGCGGGCGGCACAGGACCGGGCATTGTGGCAATCGATGGGGGAGGCCTACGTCCAGCAGTGGACAAATTTAGGCTGATTATGATGATGATGATGAACTACAAATTAGATGTTTTAATGATTAATAATCCACTGTTATATTTACTTTTACAGCTTACACTTGGCTTAAAATAACCGTATTCCTAATGGGTAAGCTGATAGTATCAGTGTGTTACACTGGAGTGATCACTTACACTATGGAGTTGTTCCCCACAAGCGTTAGAGGCACTATGCTCGGCGTGTCTTCTGTCAGTGGTGGCATTGGTAGTCTGCTTGCGCCCCTAACCCCCATACTGGTTAGTACTTTTTCCAGCTGACAAATTCTAATCGCACAATTGTTACGTCAAACTAGGACATTGAGAAATTTATGTTTTTTTAAGTATCATTCTTATGGTATACGAGTAAAGTTACAGTATTATATTTAGTGTTTACTGCTATGGACACCTGTAAAAAAAAGCAGATGCATTACCTACAGATTTTTTTTTATATTATAAGGTGGGAAACGAGCAAGCGGTCACCTGAAATCGCTGATATAGCGAAGTGACCTTTACCCATAGATATCCGCAATTGCATATGCGTTGCCTACCTTTAATCGACGGAGGAGAGGATGCACAGAAAGATAATATATTCCCTTTTCATGCATCCTCTCATCTGGGAAGTCAATTTCCACTTCCAATCCTTACCTTATAAGAAAAAAGATGGGAAGGGAAAGAGGACTAAATTAGGCCTTGAAGAAGAAGCCTTGAAACGTGGAATTGCTTCCACTTGACGCCTGTCTTCTGTATGGTCGTGGTATTTCACCGGGCGAGCCGGGCCAATACGTGCGAAGATGTTAAAGCGGGCTCTACCACTGTTACCGGGAGACTTTAAACAGAAAAATTACACTGATGATTGTTATAATAGCATTAATGACCGTCCTTTATAACAATACGAATATATATGTGTTGTTAATGAGGTTACGGTAAGCTAATGTTAAGTTTGTGATTAACGATCTATGACTTCGGATGGAGTTAGAATAACCAGAGTTAGGCACGCCACATTTCTTTGTATTTGATAGGGAATCTGTACTAGTGGTCTGTGGTTTTAATGGTTCAAATATTTGTTCATCTTTAATCTTTCAGAATTCAGTGTCCGTGGTTCTCCCGCCGATGATATTTGGTATAACAGCATTAATATCTGGTGTACTCCTCATACGAACTCCGGAGACAAAAGATACGCCTTTAATGGATACAATACAGCAAGTTGATTTAGCCAAGTCGCTAATTCCAAGAAAAAATAATAATGAAAAAATCCAAATTACTTACTACTTAGATAATAAAGATTGATTTACTTTTTTTTAAATATGACCAAAATGTAAGTTTCTGTGACGAAAACTACAATCGTATTCATTGTTTCCTATGTTTAAAAAAAACTGATAAAACAATTTGTACAGGTGTTTTTAGTTTGTTTTATTAATTTATACCGGAAAATGAAAAGTAGAAAACACGACATGATTTTAAAACTTCATCCTTATTTACGTATTACACATATTCAGTGCGATCAGAAGCGGCGTTAGGACAGGGTGAGGCAAGGCGGCAGGCCAAGATATCAGGTATAAGGGGGCACCGGAGGCGCCAGTGTCGTATATCACGGGGCGCCTGCGGTGCGAAATGTGGGCGCCGGAAAAATCTCGGCCAGGGCGCCATTAATTCTAAAACCGGCCCTGACATCTTCCTAATATTATAAATGGGTATGTTTGGATGAATGGGTGGATGTTTGTTTGAAGGTATCTCCAGAACGACTGCATAAATCTCGAGAAGAACACATAGGTTACTAATTAAGTTTTTTTTTAATTCCCTGCGAAAGTAGTGGCGGGTGACAGCTATATAAAAATGAAACTAAAATTTTAAAAATAGTTTAAGGGCTTACAAGAATGCCAGGGAATTTGGTAATATTTCTATTTGGCCTTGAATGCTACAGAGATTCGATTTCTGAGCAAACATGTCTTAGTATGTACCGTTTAGTCTTTTGTGTTCAAGATATTTTTAATGAAGTTGTCGGCTATCATAGTTACTTATATTTGTTCAAAAAAATATGTCTTCTAGTTATCAGATGGGTTAAGGTCGACCCCATACAGTCTTTGGTAATATCTTGTGATAAATTAAAAAGGTTTTATTTACACATCAAAGGTCTATGGTTAATTAAATAATAAGCTTAATACCGCTGTAGTATATTGTGGAGCAAGAGCACATATTAATTGTAGTTAACTTTGTGTGAAGTTGATTATTTAAATTATATTTACTATTAAGCTATCGATAACATTTTAATTATGTATTATTTATATCGAAAACGTTAAATAATTGAATTCTTTTATTTGGTTCGCTAGCTTAGGTTACTTTATTTCGTCTTATTCTAAAATATAGTAGATTAAAACATTTCCGAATTTTAATTAAGCATATTGCCCGTGTGAATAGACGTATAAAAACTAATTCAAGACAAATTAAAACGCTTTGTATTTTGTATTGTGATTAATATAATTTAAATAAAGGTAAGTATAATTAACTTCTTATTATATTACTAATATTATAAATGCGAATGAATGGATGTTTGTTAGAAAGTGTCTTCAGAACGGTTGTAAGGATCTCGAAGAAATTTTGTATACATATAGAACATAGTCTGGAAGAACACATAGGCTACTAATATTTTTTTTATTAATTCTGCTCGGACGGAGTCGCGGACTGTAGCTAGTAATATGATAAATGCGATTTGGATGTATGGATGTTAGTTAGAAGGTATATTCAGATGTCGTGATGATGATAGTCTTGAAGAACACATAGGTTACTTATAAAGATTTTTTTAAACTGCACAACGGAGTCGCGGGAGTCAGCTATAATATAAAACAGAAATATATAATTACTTTAAGGATAAAAACTTTTAGAATCAAGATAGCATTGCACTGCAAATGTATTATATATTAATAATATTTTATTTTCATCATAACAATGTTATAGTGTAGTTGTTTAAAAATAAAGTTGAAAAAAAAAAATAGTTATTTTTAATGTATCCAGCCAATGTTTAATTAATAATTAATTTATCATTAAGTGTTAATATTACATTTAAAATGGACGTTACCAAAAACGATGAAACTGAAATATGTGACACAATGGAGAGATTGGGTACATTCCAAAGAATACAATACGTGTTCTCATTCTTCGCAACCGTACTGGTTACAATAACACACATTAATTACGTATTTGTTGCTGGAGAAATAAACTATAGGTATGTATATTTATTATAATATGTTATAAAAAAGGTTAATTTAAGTAATTCACAATAGTGCCTTTTAGAAAGGACTATAGCATCATACTTATTCTACAACAGTGGTAGAGCCCGCTTTAACATCTTCGCACGAATTGGCCCGGTTCGCCCGGTGAAATACCATGACCACACAGAAGACAGGCGGAAAGTGGAAGCAAGTCCGCGTTTCGTTTGATGAGTGTGCGTCCCGGAGGCCTAATTTAGTCCTCTTTCCCTCTCTACTCTTTTTCTTATAAGGAAAGGATGGGAAGTGGAAGTGGACCTTCGGGATGAGAGGATGCATTGAAATGCTTTCTTTCTGTGAATCCTCTCCTCCGTCGATTAAAAGTAGGCAACGCATATGCAATTGCGTATGTCTATGGGCAACGATCACTTCGGTATTCCAGCGATTTCAGGTGGCCGCTCGCTCGTTTGCCATCTTATAATATAAAAAAAACTCCGGAGTATATTGCTGCCCTTAAACAGGGCCGGCGTTAGGTTAGAGCACGGTTGGGCGATTGCCCAAAGGGCGCGTGTAGATCAAAAACTGTGTGTCCTTGAACTTAGTGCGTCCCTGTTTCTCTATTACTATTCTCTGTAATTTCGGAGTTAGTAATAAATATTCGTACTTATTAGTAAGAATAAGATTGTTTATATATTATAGATGTCTTATACCAGAATGTGATACCCATAATGAATACATTCCAACATGGTGGCCCAACAGTACAATTGACAAATGTTTAAAACCAATACTCAAGCCAAATGTTGGTCAAACTTGCACCAATGACAGTTTTACGAATAAGTTTGAAGATTGCACGGAATGGGTGTATGAAACAAATGACACTTTAGTAGCAGAGGTAGGTAAAGTATCTTGCATCATATTATATAAATGCGAAAGTTTAGATCAGTCTTTCCCAGTGGGCGATAACGCCCCCTTGTGGGTACTGCAGGTCTCAAGTTGCGGGTTATAGTAAAGGTTTCGTTTAAAATTCTCCGTTAATATACATATATAGGTCACAATAATTAATTAATTTAATTTGAAGTTATAGTGGTTTTTAAATATGTGAGAATATGGGGGACGCTAAAAAAATATTTATTCTCAAAGTGGACAGTAGACAAAATAAGTTTGGGAACCACTGGTTTAGATGGACGTTTGTTTGAAGGTATCTCCAGAAACTCCATATATGTAGAATATAATCTGGAAGAACACATAGACTACTTAAAAAGTTCTTTTTTTTAATATCTGTCACCCACGGATCGAGTCGTGGGTGACAGTTATTTTTTTTTAATTTATCAAGACGAAGACTGCCCTATATTATTCCACAATGTTTAGAGTTTTGGTGGTACACTCCAGTAAGGAATTATTAGTCATTTGAATTTGGGCTTTGACACAAATTCAAATCCAAATTTACTGTTAAATTTCATTTTTTCATTTTAAAAATAAATATTTTCATTATGTTTAATTACAACTTGCCAGTGTTTTTTCGTTACGATGGAATATTTAATTCCAATTGTAATATCACTTCAATTAAAACTTGCAAGAAGTTTGATGTATAAATTAACATAATTAGTTTGATTTTTTTCCCGCTTTAAATACGTATTTAAATACGTATTTTGCATCGCTATCAGCCCTTGTATTTCTTGAAATACAACTCGTTAAAAGAGCCTTGAGGACGTTGGATAGATAATAAAGTAATATACAACCCTGAATTATGTTATTTAAACGACCATTATATGATAAAAAGATGGTATGCCACACAACTTATTAATTTTCCTTGAAGTTTCTAAGAAAATTGCAGGATATACAGCTGGCAAATTATTTTAATCTTTTTTTAAACGTAGGCCTTTTAAACACAAGACTAGGTATCCATTGGAAACTAATATTTAATACACAACGTTGAATCTTCGTGTACGACGACTCCGCCATTTTGAAAATCATAGCGACATTTCTCACGACAATTTATAGCCTTTGTAAGAACCTCTATGTCTTTATGACATTGTAATTTGTGTATTGCGTAAGTAGCGACTAACAACGCTAGTTTTCGAATATTTACGTAGCCTTGTGTACAAAAATAAACAACAAAAAACATACATTGATAACCTCTTTCTTTTTGAAGACTGCTAAAAAGCCCGTGCAATGAAATAAAGACTAAATCGTCTTGCGAACTTCGTATTTAAATGGTTAATTACGATTGTGAATTTCAACTTCGACACCTGAATGAGAACATACTTGTTAATAATTAAATGTAAAATTTAATTTCCAGCTCAAACTCGGCTGCCAACCTTGGAAAATCAATATGATCGGTACAATGCACAGTGTTGGCTTACTTTTAGCTATGATTGTCTCTGGATGGATGATAGATAGGTCTGTTATATTTTGTTGCTATAAATAATTCATCAGGCGCGTACAAATATAATCACAATAGTGTTACACACTAGTTTTGCTAAGTCTGTATGTATGTCTGCATAAGAAAGACGAATTGCCTAATCTAACTACGACCTAGAAGTGATTGTATGCTTTGATCACCAAGTGGATTTTCAATTTGATTCGTATTTTCTAAATGCCCCATAGAAAGTTGTTGGCCGACATCCTAAGTAACCATATTTTGACTGTAAGTGTGTTTGTAAATTTTCTAATTTTTCTCTAGATTTGGTCGCAAGCCAATATTTATATTCTGTCTGGTTGGAAGTTGTATTGGACATTTCAAAGCATTTACATCAGACTACTATATTTACGTGGTGATAGAATTAATAGAAGCGGTGATCACTGGAGGTGCCTACACTACGGTCTCCGTTCTGAGTGGGTAACAGCTTTTTATTATTGAATTTTCCATAGAAATATGTTGTAATACACGTATTATTATCTCTTCATAAAAGATATATGGAGATCTTACTAATATTCTAAATGTGTATGTTTGGATGGATGGATGTTTGTTTGAAGGTATCTACGGAACGGTTCAACGGATCTCGCTGGAAGACACACATAGGCTACTTATTAAGTTTTCTTTTAATTCCGCGAGGACGGTGTCGCGGGCGACAGCTAGTAGATTACTGGTTTTGCCAAATTCTTGTTAAGTCAAGAAGATCTATTTCAGTAATAATTATTGCCGTTGAATATTTTACATGTCATCAAGTCGCTTAAATTCATGTAAGTTTATTATTTTTAATTATAAGGTGGCAAGCGAACTAGCGGCCATCTTGATTTGCCGAAAAAGTGAAATGACCGCTAGTCATAGACATACGCAATTGGAAATGCCTAACTTTAATCGATGGAGGGGACGCATAAAAAGATAATCTTTTTCCTTCCTATGCGCCTCCTCTTGCTTCAAAATTTTCTTCCCCTTCACATCCTTTTTTACATGAAGAGGTGGTGTTTGTAATTAATTTATCTGTAAATGTTTCAGTGATGGAAATTGGTGGAAAGAAGAATAGGCTATTGGCCGGTGTTATTTACGCATTTGGAATATACATGGGGGAATCTGTATTCGCTGTAATGGCAATGTTTGTGCCATATTGGAAGAATTTAATTAAAGTTATCTACACGCCACCAATCTTCATTATATCTTATGTGTACTTTTTAAAAGAGAGTCCTCGTTGGCAAATTGTAAGCGGAAAAACTGAATGCGCGAAAGAAACGTTATTACTTATATCAAAAGCGAATAAAGTTAATATTAATAAAGATAAATTAATTAATATGAATGGAGAAGAACTTAAGAAAGAATTTAAAATAGACAATTGCCAGCAAAAGGAAACATTTAGAGATGCGATGAAATCAAGGGAGATTATGAAACGACTTGTGATTGGATCGTTCGCTAGATTTGCCGCATGTTTAGTTTACTATGGTCTAATTATCAACTCTGTATCTCTTCCGGGGAATAAATATACGAATTTCTTTTTGTCATCGTTAATGTCGTATCCAGGAGACTTAATGGCTTTGTATTTGATGAATAATGTTGGTAGAAAGTTGACATTAGTCTATGGTTATATAATTTGCGGCTTGCTCTGTGTTGCATCTGTTTGCTTTCCTGATGGTAAGTGATATAACATATTATCGTATTGTTAAGCAGAAATTCCGACACTGTGCCGGTGTACTGGCACAACACTAGCCTTACTAACATTATTGAGATTTTAGTATTCGTAAGATATTTTTTCTGTTGTAAACAAACAAGATATCACCTGATGTTTCAAAATGGTGCGGTGACTGCCCATAAACTCCTCGAACAAGTGAGAAGGTTGTAGAAGCGCTGTCTGCTTTACGTGCTGGATGGAACGTACAAAAAGACAATATTTCCCCTTTCTATGTTCCCTCTTCCTCCTAATTCACTTCCCCCTTCTGCTCTGCCTTATAAGAAGAGTGTGAGAAGGGGAAGAGGACTGGAATTTGGCCTCTGGCTCATATTTGAAGTTGTGAACGCACGTAAATGAAGTTCGGTTTTATGTGTCTTTACAGATTACACTTGGGTTAATACAGCTTTCTTCTTGGTGAGTAAGATGGTGGTGTCCGGTTGCTTCATAGGCGTGGTGACGTATACCATAGAACTATATCCGACCAGCGTCAGAGGCACGCTGATTGGAATATCTGCTTTAGTTGCCAGCATTGGAAACATTCTTGCACCATTGACTCCTATTATGGTTAGTTATTTTTTTAATTTCTTTATAATCTTATTTCTTTATTATCTTACCTCTTACTAATATTATAAATGCGAGTGTTTAGATGGATTGATGTTTGTTTGAAGGTAACTTCGAAACGGCACAAAGGATCTTCCTGAAATTTGGCATGCACGTTCAGCATAGTGGGAAGAACACATAGGCTAGTTTTTTTTTAATTCCACGCAGAAGGAGTCGCAGGTGACAGCTAGTAGTTACAAATAAAAGCTAAAATGTCTAACGTTCAAAATCTTATATATAAAAATTCTCGTGTTAAAATGTTAGTTAACATACTCTTCCTAATCGGCATCAACATTGTTTATGAAATTTTATTTAGTAGGTCTGAAAATCGGCTACTATTTATTTTTTTAAATACTTTAAAAAGTGAACTGATTTCGGCGAATTCAATGTCATTTTTTTAAGAATATAAAATATTGGGAATCTAAGTGTATGTTGTAAATTTCAGAAAACTTTTTCACCTGTTCTGCCATCGTTAACTTTCGGTGCTCTGGCTGTTATCGCCGGATTACTTATCACAATGACACCAGAGACCAAAGACTCTGCTCTTATGGACACGGTAGAGCAAGTGGAACGCGAGATAAATCTACAAAATACTAAAAAGAAAGATATAAAAGGACATATAAATGAATCTTTTGTAAGCAAAGATGAAGTGTAAAATAAATAAAAGAATAATTTTGTTGTTTTTATTAACTAAAGAAGCGCCTGTTATAACAAAATAGCAAATTTATGTTAAAACATTTTTATCCGACCATAGTTTTAATCGTGATATATCGATTTCTTATAATAATATAATAGAACTACCGATATTTATTCGTTATAGATGAACGGAGAAATATGATTTTTATTGGGTTATCCCTAAGTGAGATTCATTGGCAGGCTGATGGACGACCTTCATAAGCGAGTAACTCGTGTAAAAGAAAACTCTATAATCGAGAATTTCGCCGTCCCTTGAATCCGTTATCCAGCTTTAGACATTACTTATGTGGGAAGATTAGACCACAAACATTAGAAAAATGTACAAAGTAATTTAATTGCCCCGGTTCGCCCGGTGAAATACCACGACCACACATAAGACAGGCGTGAAGTGGAAGCAATTCCGCGTTTCGTCTGATGAGTGTGCGTCCCGGAGGCCTAATTTAGTCCTCTTTCCCTTCCTACCCTTTTTCTTATAAGGAAAGGATGGGAAGTGGAAGTGGACTTTCAGGATGAGAGGATGCATGGAAAGGAAATATATTTTCTTTCTGTGCATCCTCTCCTCCGTGGATTAAAGGTAGGCAAAGCACATGCAATTGCGTATGTCTATGGGTAACAGTCACTTCGCTATTTTAGCGATTTCAGGTTGCCGCTCGCTCGTTTGCCATCTTATGATATAAAAAAAAAGTAAAATTAAAAATCTTTTAGTCTATTTCTGGACTTATTCTTTGTCAAAGAATAAAAACACGAACTTCTGTAAGTCATTACGAATTGGCAGTTGATGACAATGTGACAAATTGTTTCATCATTATTCATTACATTACTTTGTATTAGTTGTATACATAGACAGGTATTATGTTTATTATATATCTTGTTGATACAGTATATCCTCCTATAAAAGTGTAGTGTAATATACGTAACGTAATAGTATGTAAAATCTAAATGTATAACATACGATTTGTTGACAATTTTGTACTGTAACTAATCACTTAATATTATCACCATCTCACTATACGTCCCCACCGAGTGACTCAGAGCCTACCCTAAGTTAAGGGTGATTAGGCCATAGTCAACAACGCTGGCCAAGTGCGGGTTGACTTCACACATATCTTTGAATTTTCAGATATGTGCAGCATCACGATGTTTTCCTTCACCGTAAGAACGTCGGATAAATGTACATATGTAAATCGGAAATAGATAAACATAAAACATTGGTACATGACGGGATTCGAACCCAGGACCTGCAGATTGCAAGACACTTAATATACTTTCTATTAAACATAAACTAGGAATGGTTTTCTTAAATGAAATATAGATTTACTTATTTATGATGATTCTTGTACTTTAACTTACTATATTAGCTTTGGTGGCTAATACGAGAAGTATATTTATTTTGTAAGTAATCTGTACCTGTTTTGTGTCTCAGGGTGTTTCCTGAAAGATGTAAAAGCTGCATTTATCCAAACAATCATTGAACATTAAAATAAATTATTGTCAAATATGAACATTAATTGATAACAAACAGAACAATTTTAAAAGAAAGGAATTACATTTAAAAAATACGAGAAGTAACTAAATTTGTAATAGCAAATATATGTTATCAAGATGGCTGGCGGTAGTAAGGGAGAAGTTGAAATTGATGAAACCATGGAAAAATTTGGTGTATACCAAACAATACAATATTTTTTAATTTGCCTGCCTGTTATGTTTGTCACAATGTTTAACGTTAATTACGTATTTGTAGCTGGTGAGCTAAATTATCGGTAAGTTATCTTCATCATCATTCCATCACCAGTCCTTATCCCACTCAAGTACTGGAGTACTAGATTTCCTGCGGATTGGTCTATCTTCCGTCATTTCAGTTGTCATCCTTCATAGAGTAATCTGCATTCACATTTTCACACGAAAAAATTTCCTTAATCTGAAACTTTAAGGAATTTAGTAATCGAATGAAATTAAACTTCTTTCTTCAACTTGTCAATACTCAATTTTATTTCCCATTATTGTATAATCCCGTCTGATCTTCCGTTGACGAGTTTGGGTAATTGGATAACTGGTCTATCATTTCAGTTGCCGTGTTCCTGAGTGTGACGACCAATCGACCGCATATCCAGCCTACAAGCCATCTTGGTGGCCGGACAAAGATATAGATAGATGCACAAGGCCAATGTTAAAGCAGCTCACAGGAGGAGCTTGCACCAAACAGAGTTTTTCTGACAGAGGTGAAGTGTGCAAAGAATGGGTTTATGAAACTAACGACACAGTTATAGCAGAGGTTTGTACAAAAAAACAAATCCCTGACCTTCACTTAAATAGGTTGCAAAAAACTTCTATTATCTACCGTTTATATTTTTTTCTTGAGACAAAGAAAATTGGCCCGATTCGCCCGGTGAAATATCACGACCACACAGAAGACAGGCGTCAAGTGGAAGCAATTTCGTGTTTAGTCTGATGAGTGTGCGTCCCGGAGGCCTAATTTAGTCCTCTTTCCCTTTCCACCTTTTTTCTTATAAGGAAAGGATGGGAAGTGGAAGTGGACTTTCCGTATGAGAGGATGCATGGAAAGGGAATATTTCTTCTTTCTGTGCATCCTCTCCTCCGTCTTTCGTTTGCCACCATATAATATAAAAAAGGGTCTTGACAGACGGACGGACAACAAAGTGATCCTATGTATAAGGGTTCCGTTTTTTTTCTATGAGTTACGGAACCCTAAAAACTAGTTCTTTTAGCTTCGTTATTGGTGTGTTCAATATAAAATTATTGTTTAACTTTCAGTTAGATCTCGCATGTCAACCATGGAAGTCAAATATGATTGGCGCTGTCCACAATGTTGGTTTGTCGATTGCGTGGCTCGCGTCCGGTTATCTTGCAGATAGGTATGTACAGAAGATGTTTCTACCACTGACTTCTATACATGGACAGGCTACATTTGTTGGTATTTTGTGCCATTTTGATTATCATTTTAGCACTGACGGTTGCGGATAGTAGCGGTAGTGAATTAACTATCAGGAATATTAATAGGCTCGTGCAAGTCGGAACGAAGCAAACGCATATATCATTAAAGCGTTTGCTTCGTTCCGACTTGGAAATGGCCTATCTTATACCTATCCATCCAAAGAGATCACTGCTTCCTTCCCATTTCGCGTCAAAGCTATTACAGCAACACGTCTTACTAATATTATAAATGCAAATGTTTGGATGGATGAATGTTTGTTTGAAGGTTTCTCCAGTACAGCTAAACGGATCTCGATGAAATTTGGCATTGATGTAGAATGTAGTCTGGAAACATAGACTACTAATAAGTTTTTTTTTAATTTCGCGTGGACGGAGTCGGCGACAACATCTAGTACATATTAAATCATAGCAATTAGGAAGCGAATTTAATTATTAACATGTTTGTATTCTTTATTTGGTTAATTTCAATTGTAATGGATAATCTTTATTCTTGTAGGTTCGGTCGCAAGCCAACATTAATTCTTAGCGGTGTGCTGGGTGGGATTGGTATTTTCAAAGCCTTTACGAAATCGTACTTCTTGTATATAGTACTAGAATTCTTGGAAGGAACGATCGGTGGTGGCTGCTATACAGCTGCTATGGTATTAAGTAAGAAAAATAATATTAGTTAATTTTTAAATTAAGTGGATGACATTTTTGTGAAGCTGGCCGCTTACATATAGCTGGCCGATAACAATAAAGTTATAGTATCTCAAAATGCCCTAGTAAACAGGGCTGGTGTAAGGCCGGGGTTGGGTGACCGCCCAGGGCGTTGGACAGACCGCGGACGAGAGCGAAAGCGTGCCTGTGGTCCCGATGCGTTGGAGGAACAGATAGGTTTTGTGGATATGCGTCAGCTATGGAAGAGAATCCCACATAACTACCGCGTCCCCCCCGGGGCGCGGAGTATGCATAAAGCATTCCTCTCTGGAAAAAAATAAAATAAAAAAAGGACGTTGGACAGAAAGGCCTGCCACAGTTCTGCGATTAACCTACACAGTCTCACATAACCTTATCAGAATTAAAGCCTTCAAAGGCATGACAAAAAAGATGGCGTCGTAGATATCTCGCCCTAATCTACAAGAAAAGAATCTCTAGATTTATAACTTATATGAAATGGAGGTCTATTTCTGTTACTTTTGTAGCTTTAAGTCTTCCGATGTCAAGGTTATAACATAACAATTAAGTGTGGTTATTTTGGTTTTCAGTGATAGAAATCGGCGGTGTTGAGAACAGAGTGCTGGCCGGTGTAATTTTTTCCTATGCTATCTATGTTGGGGAGACCCTGTTCGCTCTAATAGCGATGTTTGTGCCTTTTTGGAAAACATTAATTTTAATAGTCTACAGCCCCGTTATCGTTTTTCTTTTGTTTTTCTTTATAATCAAAGAGAGTCCTCGATGGGAATTATTAAACGATAAAACGGAGAAAGCTAAAAAAACCTTACTTTATATAGCAAGAGTAAACAAAATTAATATCAATAAAGAGAAATTATCAAATATGACGGCAGAGAATTTAAGGAGAGAGTTTAAAATGGATACATATCAAGAAAGAGAAAGTTTTAAAGCTGTAATTAGATCTAGAGAAATGAGGAAGCGAACATTAGTTGCCGGGTTTTGTAAATTTACATCGGGTTTCGTTTATTACGGCTTGATGATAAACTCTGTATTCTTGCCTGGTAGTAAATATACTAACTTCATGTTGGCTACTGTCATGTCGTATCCAGGCGAGCTGATGTCTTTGTATTTTATGAATAAATTCGGAAGGAAATTTCCATTGATATATGGATTTTTATTATGTGGAGTGCTATGTTCTGCATGCGGTGCGGTACCTGAAGGTAAATGACATATACAGGGTGCATCAATTTCTGTTTACGAATACATTTAAAAAGTTGAAACATACTGTATCTCTTACAGATTACAAAGCTATTAAAGTAACTCTATTCCTATTGGGTAAATTGATAGTGTCAGTGTGTTTCACTGGTGTGATCACATACACTATGGAGTTGTTCCCCACAAGCGTTAGAGGCACGATGCTGGGCGTATGCTCGGTTTGTGCAGGCTTTGGAAGCATCCTGGCACCACTCACACCAATATTAGTAAGTGGATCTTTAGTCTTATTGAATAAAATTTAAGATTGGCATATAAACAAAGAAATCCGTATAGCAAAGAAGACGAAAAGGTCAGCAAACACTAAAGAAAATATTAGAATTTTTAATCGAAGGGAATTAACTGGTCACTATGGTTCACCGTTAGACATGAGTCGAGAAACTACTACTAAAAGTAGTCGTTTCTAGAAAATTCTAATGAAAAGGAAAGGTTTATATGCTTTGAAATCATGATCAGCTCCCTGAATTCCCCCTGAGGGGCACGGAGCCTACCCTTAGTTAGGAGTGACTGGGCTACAGTTAACCTGGGCCAGTGCGGGTTGATTCACACATGTCTATGAATTTCTTTGCAGATATGTGCAGGTTACATCACGATGTTTACCTATATTGTATGAACGTCTAGTAAATATACATATGTAAATCGAAAAACACGTTAGTACAGAGTGAGATTCGAACCTAGGACCTGCAGATTACAACTCAAGCTCAACCCCTGTCATCGACGCTCCATTGGAATAGTTGCAGTCTAATATTCTATTAATTTCAGAATCAAATTTCCATAATACTTCCACCGTTGATATTCGGAGCGACCGCCCTCTTGTCCGGGGTGCTACTGACACGCACCCCGGAGACAAAAGGCGCACCTCTCATGGACACTATTGAACAATTGGATAGGACTTACGGCCAGGGTTCCAGTGGAAGAAGTTAATTATGAATAAAATATCGATGATGTATCCCATTGTTTCATTACTTATTTAACTACTGAAACATACAGACAAAATCTTACTTGTTACTTATAAATGCGAATGTTTAGATCGACGGATGAATAGAAGGTCTGCATGGAGATCGCTGAAAATTAGGCATAGATGTAGAACATAGCCGGGAAGAACACATAGGCTACTTACTAAGTTTGTTTTTAATTCCGCGCAGACGAAGTCGCGGACGATAACTAGAGTTCTACATAAGATTTTTTTTTATATCAAGGTGGCAAACGAGCGAGCGACCACCTGAAATCGCTGAAATAGCAAGGTGACCGTTGCCCATAGAGATACGCAACTGCATATGCGTTGCCTACCTTTAATCGACGGAGGAGAGGATGCACCGAAAGAAAATATCTTCCCTTTCCATGCATCCTCTCATCCGGAAAGTCCACTTCCACTTCCCGTACTATATAAGGCCTCCGGGACGCACACTCATCAGACGAAACGCGGAATAGCTTCCACTTGACGCCTGTCTTCTGTGTGGTCGTGGTATTTCACTGGGCGAGCCGGGCCAATTCGTGCGAAGATGTTAAAGCGGGCTCTACCACTGTTAAATTTATGAACAATATAGATTATTGATGTGGTATGCATCTGGAGTACCAATATTGGGTGTGCTGAATCTACGTGAGTATGATAAGGAAAGGAATAGTTATGATAACGGCGACCACGATGATGATGATGAGACTGAGATGAGCTTGATAAAGACGTCTACAATTCAATATTCGTTATATGTAGACTAAATTACGCTCCGTGTTCAAATTGTAGTATTTACTATTAACAGTTCAAACTATGTATATATATATCTATAGTAAACGATCATCTATAGTATGGAAATTAGAAAAGCAAAGAGTGAATTAGATCTGATCAATCCGGGGAATAAAAGATGTTGCGATATTTAGTGCCGTAGGAAATCCCAATCCTAATTTTTATAGATATAATAAAATCTATATTAAATATTATGTTTATACTAGCTTTTACCCGCGACTACATCCGCGCGGTATAAAACAATTGTAGCTTATCTGTTTTACTAGACAATGTTGTACATCTATGCCAAATTTCATCATAATCCGTTGTTTTCTGGAGATACATTCAAGCAAACATCCATTTAAACATTCGCATTTATAATATTAGTACGACATTAAGTAGTAAAATTTTCTTACGTATGTTACTTTAATCCTTTTCTTATCTATAAAATAAATATATTTAAGATAATAAACTTTATGATGTTAATGTGAGATGAAATCTGCTAATGTTATTTATAAAACAACACTGAAATATCATAAACATTATAACGTAACGCGTAACGTTAACTGGTTGTTAATACTTTAGAGCTAAAAGATTAAAAAAGAAAAATAAAATACTGGTTTGTTAGAATTCAACAAACCTTTTTTTTAAATCAATAAAAGTGTTATTAAAAAAATAAGTTATTAATTAATAATTCGATTTGATTTTGTATATTTAGAAATATTCGTGTTAAAGTGAACTCAGTGTTTAGAAAATTATATATATAAATGAAAGTCGTGTTAGTTACACTATTTATAACTCAAGAACGGCTTTACCGATATGCCTGAAAATTGGTGAGGAGATAGCTTAGAGCCAGGAGAGGGACATAGGATACTATTTATTCTTTTTTTTTCGAATTTATGCCTTGAAGAGTTGCTTTTTATTTACAGCTAGTTTTTAATAAAGTAACGTAAAGATTTTCATGCAATAGAATATATTAATAAATAATAAAAATGCGAGCAAATGATACTGAACGTAATGAAAAGGAGATAGAAATAATAGAGACGATGGAGAAGTTTGGCAGATATCAGATGCTGCAGTACTTCTTGATCTGTCTGCCTGCTATCGTCGTCACCATGCTTAATGTTAACTATGTTTTCGTTGCTGGAGAAGTCAACTACAGGTACAGTAAAGAACTTCTATCTCTTACTTATCATTACCCTATTCCTCATAGAGTAACCGTAGAGTACTAATCTTACTAATATTATAAATGCGAATGTTTAGATGGATGGATGTTTGTTAAAAGATATCTCCAACGGTTGTATGGATCTTGCTGAAATTTGGCATAGGTGTAGAACATATTCTGGAAGGACACATAAGCTATTAATCAAGCTTTTTTTTACATTTCCGCGCGTACGTGTCGCGAGCGACAGACAATCTTCCATACATCTCTTACAGCCGTCATATCTGAATTCACTCCCAATCCATCCATACTTTCATTTTATTTTTATTTATGCCCTACCAAATACCAAGGGGCCAGCTGAAAACCAGCGCAGGAATGGTCAAGCCTTCCCTGCACCAGCTGAGCTGGCCACCTTTTTTGCCACATTCTTAATTTATTTAATTATTTTTTTTTTTTCATTTTGTAGTTTTTTAGGTTGTTTGTGGCAATAAATTAATATTCTATTCTATTCTATTTAAATACCGTTGCGATAATCTAATCTAAACCACTCACCCTAAGAAGATTTGTAACCTGTGTGGGTTATTTGAGTTAAGCCGTGATTCTTAATTTGTTTATTATACTTACCGTGGGTTTGCGATACCAAAATCCCCGTTTAAAACATATCGTTATCTCTGTTTTGTCAATGATAATGACAGGGATGACGATATGTTTATACAGACATTTAGATCTCAGAAATCAGCGGTTAATGTCTCAGAAAAGATTTAATAAGTTAAATTAATGACCACAATATTTATCAAATGTTACAGATGTCGTATACCAGAATGTGAGGGTCAGTATCCAGTGTACAACACAACGTGGTGGCCGAACAAGAATATAGATAGGTGTACGAGGCCACTACTCAAGGAACTGACAGGAGGAACGTGCACCAATGACAGTTTCTCTGACGCTGTCGCGGTCTGCACAGAATGGGTCTACGAAACTAATGACACTGTCGTTGCTGAGGTTTGTGGTTAAGACACCATAGACTTAACGATTTGATAGTGATGTATTAACTAAAATGGTCTTCAGTACATCCCTTTCGGTCCATTAAAACGCAAGCAGCGCATCTGTAACCTGCATATAGCTATGGACAGTTTAATTTTTCCTCTTTCACCTAAATCAATGACCTAACCTTCTTTTGCCATTTTTAGCCGACTTCATGTTATAAAATAAATCACCAATAAACTCAAAAAGGATCGTACGGGTCAATGACCTACTTAGATGTGTCAAAATCGCAGGAAAAGTACAGATAAAAAAAATCGTATTTTGTTAAAAGTTTTGACGTCACAATTTAGTGCAAGTTACTAATTTGTATTTAAAACATACTGTAGTAACAGAATTCCATATGTCGTCTAATATTTCCCTTTTTCAGTGTCTTTTCTAAATATTATCCAAGTGATTTGGTTTTGAAATGCAATAATCTTATATATATAATTCTTCTGTGAGTGTGTATGTCACTGAACTTCTCTCAAACGACTGGACCGATTTTGATGAAATTTTTTGTGTGTGTTCAAGGGGATCTGGGAATGGTTTAGATTCACAATTTTGTCCGCTGGACAATGTTTTCTTAATTAATTTTTAATTTATTAGTAGTTGTTGATTTTGGAATGTTTTACATTGGATCCGACAGACGGCGCTACCATCGCAGTGTCAAATTTTAAATAATATTTACATGTAATGACGTTATATATTGTCATAACATTTGAATAATAGTTTTCATCAAAATGGTCCAGAATGTTTTAGCTTATTAAAAAAAGTTTGAAATTTTCAAATTAAAGACGTGTAGACAGGACAACGTCTGTCGGGTCCGCTAGTATATATTATAAATTCTTTTCGTAGTTTTGAAATTGGTTCGTTAAAACACACTCTGTATATCATATCTCGAAAAGATCTTTATAGATATATTACAATTTTGTGTACATCTATTGTGACGTGTTACACATGTAATATTAAATTTATAATAGCATAATTTAATCCGGGTGTGTAAAATATTGATGCAAATATAATAAAGATAAATATATAATTACTGAGTACATGTGATATGAGTTTGTAGATGTTGCTATCTAGTTGAATAATATTATAAAAGACGAGAATAAACTATTTATATAAATATTTCAACAATGGTAGAGTCCGCTTTAACATCTTCGCATGAATTGTCCCGGCTATCCCGGTGAAATACCACGACCACACAGAAGACAGGCGTCAAGTGGAAGCAATTCCGCGTTTCGTCTGACGAGTGTGCGTCCCGGATTCCCAATTTAGTCCCGATTCCCTTCCCATCCTTCTTATAAGGAAAGGATGGGAAGTGAAATTTGACTTTTCAAATGAGAGGATGCATGGAAAGGGAAAATATTTTCTGTGCATCCTCTCCTCCGTCGATTAAAGGTAGGCAACGCATATGCAATTGCGTATGTCTATGGGCAACGGTCACTTCGCTATTTCAGCGATTTCAGGTGGCCGCTCGTACAATAATGTATATAAAATACATCTAAAACAATTAGTTACAACGGTTTGACAAATACAGCATTTTTTAATAGAGAAAAGACTGTAATGATAATATTATAGTAAATTGTAACGAATAATATTTATATTTTTAATGTAAATATATCCATGGAGATATAAATAATAAATAAATAGATTCAATAAAAAGCAAAAGACAAATTAATATTGACCCGAAAATAATAACCTCTGATTATTATCAATCAACTTGAATTAGCCTCGTTTTTCTATCAATTATTTTTTTTATTCTCACAAATTTTATTGTTTAATAACGTTAATCATATCTTTAGTAAGATAAGATTACAATGTACTTTGTCATCCATTGTTCGAACAAATAATTTTTAATTAAAAATATCTTTATGCAATTCTACACGATGCCATTGATCCAACTCACTATGTGTCCCCAATAAGAGGCTAGGATTCTACCCAAAGTAAGCCCATTGTGGGTTGGTTGACTTCACACATATCTTTGAATTTGTTCCCAGATATGTGCAGGTCGGATCACGATGTTTTCCTTCACCATAAGAACGTCGGATAGATGTACATATTATATGTAAATCGGAAATCAAAGAACACATTGGTATATGGCGGGATTCGAACTCAGGACCTGCAGATTGCAAGTCAAGTGCTTGACCCCTGGGCCGACGTTTTTACGAAATACCTTCAAGAAGCGAGCATACCATTTCCTTAAAGGCCGGCAACGCATCTACAGTTCCTCTGGTGTTGCAGATGTCCATGGGTGTCGATGATCACCTTGGTGTTCCCGCCGCTCGTTTGCCCCCTTCTCTTATAAAAAAAAAATAGATAGCAAAACAGTTATTAGTGTGTTAGAAGTGGAGTCGTTATTTTAGTAGCTATTGTATTTTGTATAAAATATCTTTTTAAATTTTCAGCTCGATCTCGGATGTCAGCCGTGGAAGTCAAATATGATCGGCACAATCCACAATGTTGGCTTATCCCTCGCAATGTTGGCATCTGGATGGATGTCTGACAGGTACCCATTTCTACGACATCACTAGAAAGAAGCAAACACACAAAGAAAACAAATACAACTAACTATAGCTTTCTGAGACCAAAATTCCCGTTTAAAACATATTGTGTCTTATTACATTAACATAAATTAATATATGAACGGTTAAAACAATTTCGTACATTTGTCCGGTGTCAGCACCGACTCTCTCTTTCTCTGCCTAGCTTGCATCCTACAAAGTGATGGGGAGCTTTTCCAATCAGTCTTTTACACTTCTTCTCTCCACTACATCTTCGTCTGAGTTTTGGCACTTATGTCTTTTACCACTGCCATCTTTCCATCTCATTGTCAGTATGCCTGTATACTAGCTGTCACCCACGACTACGCGCGAAATCAAATATAAACTTAATAAGTAACCTATGTTTTCTTCCAGGCTATGTTCTACATCTATGTCAAATTTCAGCAAGATCCGTTCTAGAGGTACCTTCAAACATCGATCCATCTAAATATTCGCATTTGTAATATTAATAAGATTAATTATTTTTCAGATTTGGTCGTTTACCGACTTTTATACTGTGTTCGGTAGGAAGCTGTATTGGATTATTGAAAGTCTTTGCTAAAACGTACTACGTGTACGTCTTGATAGAATTGTTGGAAGCAACCATTGCTGGAGGAACATACACTTCTGCTATGGTACTAAGTAAGTTAAACAATTAACAATCATTTATTTATATCTTTAAAGCACCAATAGCCAAATGGTTATGGGTACGGATTTCCGATCACGCGGTCTAGAGTTCGAATCCCACTATTCGCCTATTCTCGTAAACCATATCCTAGCACATGCATAGGAGCTTAGTTAGAATGGTACAAGAAATATTAGTAAATTAATAAAAATCTGCTAATATTTTATAAAGAAAATTAAGTTACCTCCACTATTAAGAATATTTGCAACAGGATTCCGAAAAATAGCAATTTATAGGCTTTGATTGGTGCCAGTCAACGTCCGTTCGCTCCGGCTGCCATTCTTATAATGATTAGTGGCGCCACTGTCGCTTATGTACACAAGCAATATTTGTTATAACTACCTTCCATTTTTGATTTCAGTGATAGAAATAGGCGGTAAAAATAATAGGATTTTGGCGGGAGTTATATTTGCTTACGCTATATATGTAGGTGAAACACTCTTCGCACTTATATCAATGTATGTACCTTACTGGAAAAACTTGGTAATGATAATTTACAGTCCAGCAATATTGTCCATTTTACTGATATTTGTAATCAAAGAAAGTCCTCGATGGCAATTACTTAACAACAAAACGAAAAGCGCTAAAAGAACACTACTCCACGTGGCTAAAGTCAACAAAGTTAATATTAATAATGAAAAATTGCTAAATATGAATGAAGAAAATCTTAAAAAAGAGTTTAATATTGATAGTTATGAAGAGAAAGAAGGTTTAATGGCTATATTTAAGTCCAGAGAGATGATTAAACGATCATTAGTCGCTGCGTTCTGCAAATTTACGTCAGGCTTTGTGTACTACGGCTTAATGGTGAATTCTGTTTACTTGCCGGGTAACAAATATACTAACTTTATGCTCGCTTCAGTGATGTCATATCCTGGTGAGCTGATGTCTTTGTATTTGATGAATAAGATTGGAAGGAAATTTCCTTTGATATATGGATATTTACTATGTGGGCTACTCTGTGCTGCTTGTGGCTGGATACCTGAAGGTATAAACTTTATTTATTTATAACGTTAACTATTTTTACTCTTGGTATATCAAGACTCGACTAAATCTAAGTGTTTTTATTATTATAAAGTGGCAAATAACGAAACAACCGTTGGATAAAGTTCAAATCTCCTCCCCTTTCCCATCCTTTCCTTATAAGAAAGGGAGAAGGGAAATCGCACACTCATCAGAAGAAACACGAAATTAAAATTAAGTGTCACCTACTCTTTAGTAAAAACAGTCGTCAACTTGAATTATTGAAATGGAATTCATTCAATTGTTTCTTTTACAGCATACACTTGGCTTAAAATAACCGTATTCTTATTGGGTAAACTGATAGTGTCTGTGTGTTATACTGGTGTTATCACTTACACTATGGAGTTGTTCCCAACCAGTGTGAGGGGCACCTTGCTAGGGGTGTGTTCCGTCAGTGCTGCGTTTGGCAGTATGTTGGCACCCCTTACTCCTATTCTAGTAAGTACCTCAAAACCTCAATATTTCCGAACCAATGGAGTAGCCCACCAGTTTAAAGGCCTAGTTTCAATTCATCAGGCCTGTAACCCAGAAGGGTAGGCAATGATTGCGAAGTTTCAATTTAATCGATATCTGATTTTTACAATGTCAAATTTCAGAATTCAGTGTCTGTGGTTCTTCCATCAATGATCTTTGGGATAACAGCCATTATCTCTGGCATTCTTCTGACGCGAACACCAGAGACTAAAGACGCGCCTCTCTTGGACACCATAGAGCAAGTGGAGAAAGCTTATGGAAAGGCGAGAGAAAACAGACAAGGCGAAGATAATCCTGGATTTAATAAAAATATAAATGATTAAAATACAATAGTTTTATTAGAATCGTCTTAAAGACGTTAATTATATATTTTTTATTTATTTATTAAAAAAAATCCAAAACTCTGACAAATTGTTTTTTTATGACATTAAGACCAAAAATACTAATCAAACATATTTAGGCTAAAAAGTAAATACTAAATAGAAAAATAGTTTATGGAGTAGGTGAGGTCGGCCATCTTGTTTATGGAATTGGTTGCCTATCGTTATAACGAGGAAGAAATAAGTACCAAGTTCCTTACCACGCATGGATCAGAAATAATTCTGGCCAAACAATAATGGCCGTGCCCTTGAATATGGCATTAAATTTTATATAATACTTTTAGACATTTTTAGTTAGAATCCTTTGGCGCGAATGACGCGCTTTCATTACAAAGTGAAGTGTCAGAATGATTACTGAGGGGACATAAACGTCGACATTTTATTACTGCTAGTGTTGTGGCAGTACACCGGAATAATGTCGGATTTTCTACCTAATACGTCGAAGTTCGCTAAGTTATATCTATTTATTAGTATAATCTACAATAAAATAAAAGATGAATCAATAATATTGGTATTTTCATACTTAAATACAGATATATAAAGATAGGATCTAATAAAAACTAAATATACTAACTAATCTTATTTAAATCTGTAAATAAAAACGAATAATTCACTAAAATATGTTATTAAAAGGAGTCCCTTTAGGCAAGGTCCCGAAGATACTGGCAGCGTTCCCCCTCTGTACAGCTAAACTAATTCTTTGACCGAGGTAGCTGCCAGCTCTTCGGTCCCCTGTGATGTCTTAAAGCGCTAGGACCCCACGGACCAAGGGTCTCGACGCCGAATGGTTTATGGTAATGAATGGTGAATCAGTAAAATATTAAGTTAATCGAAATTGTAAAATTCGTACTATTATTTTGTTATCTTAAATTACTATTATATTTATTATCTGTCGATATTTTTGATTGAGATCTTTTAAATGATAAAAATATCTTCCGTATATTAAATAGAAATATTCTTTTCATGATGTCTAATAATTTTATGACATGTCATTATTGCGATATGACTCGACATTTTTATAGACTACTAACGATGATATTATATTGATTTGTCACCACCGGGCAAGGTTTTTTTAATCATTAACAATCAAACAAAGATAAATTCACTATTACGCTAAGTTTTAAATGCAAAAAAATAAAATCAGAGCACCAGGAGCTAAGTTAAGGGGTAATACATAAAAATACAGATTAATTAAAACCTCCATCATTTTGAAGTCGACTATAAAATTAACTACTATTCGATCTTTGGCTTTAAAATAAATCTAAACTGTCTTTTCAAATATTTTTAAAAATATTTCAAAACTAGCCGTCGCCTGCGACTCCGTCTGCGCGGAATTAAATCTTATATCTTTAAATGAGCAATTTAGGCTCCAACGATTTTCATAAAATTTAGTATGTTTGTTTCCTACGCAAACTTGTCCGAAATTTGGACGACTCGACCAAACGCACAACGAAACGAACGAAAACTACAAAACGCAACGACAACAATAACAACCAAAGAAACGTAATGACAACACCGAACCAAACACCAAACATATCCGACTTGCGGGAAGCATATCTGTAGCGAGACATTGTATCTTAACATCGCGATTAAAGTAAACGATATCTCGCTACAGCGCCATCTGTTAGGGTGCAGCAGAAACGGCGCCAACATAGTATATAGGAGGTTTCGGGGGCGATAAATCCATCTAGCTAAGAATAATTTTTAGAAAATGTTATTTTATTCGTGTTTTATCGATAATCAACTTAACTTTTTCTATCGATAAGATCGAAAAATATTATTCATAATTCATCATTTTATTAGTAATTCGTACTTACATATAATTTCCAAAAAACACAATTCAAAAAAAAAAAAATACCGAGCAAAGCTCGGTCATCCAGGTACTAAACATAATAAGCCTATGTGAATTTCATCTAAATCCGTTCAGCGATTCCGGAGATACCTTCAACCATACATCCATCCATTCGCATTTATAATATCAGAATGAATATTGATGTTCACATGACTTGCAAATTTTTATCGATCATTCATAGCAATAATTGCATTGCAATGTTTACAAAAATCATTCTGATACATGAAAAATATATATAGATAAAGTCTAAATTTTACACATTTAATAATTATTATTGTGAAATATTGCGCAACGGTAGTGAGCTTGGTTTTTCAGTTGACTTGGGCTGATTTCGCGTTCGCCGGATTTTATGATGGTTTCAAACAACAATCGCTGATTCCGGACTTTGACGAGAAATACCCAAGCTTCAAGAAATTGAGGGAAACTGTCGCGAATCTGCCCGCAATTAAAAAGTACTTGGAATCGAAATCATAATTATATGTTAATTATAAATTTGTTACTTTGTTTTTAAGAATTAATTTAAATTATAAGATAAATTAAAAACTTTCATTTAATTACTTTGTTTTTTATTGACTAAAAAAGTAAAAAGGATAACTGATGAGAACATTTGGATGTTTTTTATCTATGGTATACATAAAAAGCTGTGTAAATGAATACAGCAAAGGCAAGGAAGCGCCGAGGAACTGTTACAAAGAAAATCCGACATTGTGCCGGTTGCACAACACTAGCCTTACTAAAATGTCGACGTTACTAATTAAGAATGTCTAATAGTACTTAATTAATTCTGCCACTTTTTGCAATCACATATGCTTATCAAGCGAATTTATCAGGGCAAACGAGGAGAATCCTATGTACTTAACGGGACCAGACTAAACGTGATCGCCCCTTTTTATAGTTACGAGTCCCAGGGTCCCCGAAAAGTATTCTGGGACGTCATATTGTCCCATTTTTTAAACCGCGCGCAAAAACAGCCGAGTCGGCCGATGCGAGTGATAGACGAGACCGCATCATCTGCCAACCCATATACGAGGGTTTTCTGATTTTTCAAATTTCAGTTCAGGCGTTTGTAAATAAGGCGAATTTTAAAAAAATATGACAAGAGTTTTATTCTTACCTTTAGACATTATTCATTACAATCCTTCGGCGCGAATGACGTGCTTTCGTTACAACATCCAGTGTCAGAATGAATGTGACGGGACATGAACGTCGACATTTTAGTAAGGCTAGTTTGAGTCAATACACTGTCTCATTTTCCAATTTTCTTCCTAACATTACTTAAAATTATCACCAGCTATTATTCATAATCAGCTTAACTAAAAGTTTTGCCTAAATGTATTTTTATTTGTAACTTAAGCTTACTGATTTTTTTTGAAGAAAAACTTTAAAAAAAAATTTACGTATTTTTCATTGACTATCTTTAATTATCCTAAATAAGTTAATGTCATGTTTTGATTTAAAAAATAAACGGTTACACATATTCTATCACAGTGTTTACAATTATTTGATATAATTTACTAAGAAACTATTACTCTTTTAGATTTGAGTTTCGGCACAATCATTTCAATGTATTGTCTATCGTAAAAAATCTATTCGATATTAAAAAATGTTATATTTATAATATAATTAATATTTCAAAGATTTTTTTATATCACAAGGTGGCAAGCGAGCGAGCGGCCACCTGAAATCGCTGAAATATCGAAGTGACCGTTGTCCATAGACACACGCAATTGCATATGCGTTGCCTACCTTTAATCGACGGAGGAGAGGATGCACAGAAAGAAAATATTTTCCCTTTCCATGCATCCTCTCATTCGGAAAGTGCACTTCCACTTCCCATCCTTTCCTTATAAGAAATAGGATGGGAAGGGAAAGAGGACTAATTTTGGCCTCCGGGACGCACACTCATCAGACTGTACGCGGAATTGCTTCCACTTGACGCCTGTCTTCTGTGTGGTCGTGGTATTTCACCGGGCGAGCCGGGCCAATTCGTGCGAAGATGTTAAAGCGGGCTCTACCACTGTTAGAATTTTATTGTACTTCTAACGCCATCTATCGGAAAAATTATAAAACCAATGAGATAAGTGTAATATTATTACCCTATTATAATACGTTACGTTACATTACTAGTTTTTTTTTACAAATCATGACATTTTAAAAATATAGCTAGTCAAAAAATAACTAACTAGTTTAATTTTTAACTTTTGTTTTAAAATGCAGCCAAAATTGGCCATTCGTTCATTAGATCCTCTCACTCAGAAGGCTTTTTATTCATCAAAGTTTTAAATTGCTGATTCATGATGAATCATAATTTTTTAATTATAAAACAGCAAATCACAGTAAATATCTTACACTCATGCATACGTGAATTATTAAAGCAAAACTTTGTATAGAAGATTTCATAAATCGTAGCGGCTCTTAACTTCGCGCGAGTCGCTGCGCAGAATACAATTTTAGGTATAGCGGGGCGGAGCGGGATGCGGGGGGAGGGCACTGCGCAGCGCAGAGGTGATTTGGGCCTCTAAGATACTTGAAAATAACTAGTAATTTAAGCAGTTTTAGCACAATCATCTTTTTTATTCTTTTTTAAATTGCCAACTCACGATGACTCAGCAAAGCATATTGTACTTTTAACATGACAATTAAGATACAGGCTTAAAATAATTTAACCTGATCATTTTGGAAGTGTCGAGTCATGCTACGAATTTAAAACAATGACTGCGCAATGATTTTATACACTAGCTAATGCCTACAACTTCTGTTTAGTTTTTTTTTAAAACCAAATTTTAAAAAAATCACATTAGGTTAATATTTAATTGTGCTCAGATAAAATCACAGCTAAACTTTAGGTTAGGGACGGTTGAGTTGGTGACTTTTAATATTAAACTTAACGGGCCCAGCGTACACAGATCGGCCCTGATTACTTTCAGAATCAATGTGCTATATTAAATAATTTCAATTAATAACTATGAGGAATGTCACACCTCTGTTTTGCCTGTGGCAACACTGTTACATGAGGCAAAATTAATTTTAAAATCCGTTGATCGTTTTTCTTTATTTTTTTTAGGAACTTTCGTTCTTTTGAACATGTCAGTCCCAAATCCATTGATGGCTTATACCACTCGATCGAATATATAAATATTTTTCACAGATTATTAAATGCTTAAAATTAAAAAAAAATTATGTAGATAATCTTAGAATCAATTTTTATTCAGTTTATATTTGGCCAGTAGTATCGTATAGATAAAAATGTGCAAGTCACAGATGTACGAGGCATAAATAGTTTTTAATATAAATATTTCGCCTCACGTATTATTACATTGTGTTTTCAACTCGCAAACAGACGTGTTGTTCCTCGTTGTTATTAATTTAAATTTATATATTGTAAGTATTTATTCATTTATAATTTTCTTAAATAGTTTACTATATTTTTTTTTAATAAATTTGATCATATTTTTCTGTTAATTTTCATAAAAAAATTTTGATGTAAAAAAAAGTAAAAAAGATTTTTTGTTATAAAAAATACAATTTTAATGTTATTTAAGTTTCCATTTATTATTTTTACTACGATCTTCAATTTAAAATACATCCATTTTGTATGTTTTTGCTGCTACAAAAGTATAAATATCAAAAACTAGCTGTCGCCCGCGACTCCGTACGCGTGGATATATAAAAAACGTAAGTTAAATAAAAAGCAGTTAAAAAAAAGAAAAAAAAAGAATAAATAGTATCCTATGTCCGTCTCCTGGCTCTAAGCTACCTCCTCACCAATATTCAGGCATATCGGTAAAGCCGTTCTTGAGTTATAAATAGTGTAACTAACACAACTTTCTTATATACCATCCCTTCTCATATTTATAGTTATTATTTATTCCGCAGTACAATGAAGGACGTAAAAGTAACGTATTTCGATATGGAGGGCACTGCTGAAGCTATTCGCTGGCTCTTGTCCTACGGTGGTCAAGAATTTGAAGATGTTCGCGTCGGATTCGCGGACTGGCCCGCTTTGAAGCCAAGTTAGTATACCAAGCCAGTAATGGATTAATTTTTTTTATTCCCTTACATAATATTTAAAGAATGTTGACTCGTTTAAACGAAAGTAAATTAAACTCTTCTACTAACTACTTCTCAGTTTTAAAATTTATAATTACTTAATTCTGCTAATATTTAAAAAAAAATCAGACAATGAGAAATTACATTTGATTAAAACAAACTTGTGGACATATTCATTGGGGTTTCATTAAAAATTACGAATAAAAGTATCCTTCAACTTCCAGAAACGCCACATGGTGTTATGCCCCTGCTGGAATTTGACGGCAAAGTGTACGGTCAGAGTTTTGCTATTTGCCGTTACCTCGGAAAGAAATTCGGCCTGGGCGGTAAGACCCTGGAGGAAGACCTAGTTATTGATCAAAATACAGATTTCTACGCAGATGTTCGATTGAGTAAGTAAATATACATAAGAATTTAAAGCAACCATTAAAATATTTTATTTTATAAAAATTAGAAATTTTATAACCTAACCTTTTAAAGTGGCAGGCGCCTTTCCGTTCCTAGTTTTACACAAAATGACAATGGGTTAGTCTGCAGGACTAACTGATTCATAAATTTACGTAATTTGTTACTTCAGAGGGAATCCAGTCATTCTGGGAGCCTGATGCGAGTATTAAGGCGGTGAAACAGGAAGCCCTCGTGAAGACAGTGTACCCCGAACTTCTGCCAAAGTTGGACAAAATCATTCGAGAAAACAACGGACACATGGCCCTCGGCAGGGTGAGTACCTCACATGTACTAACTTTGTATTTAGAGATATTTTTAAAACAATTTCATATAAGTTTTTTTAACTTTCAACTGAACATTTCAACAAAACCGTCCTTGTAATATGTTTTTGTACAAGTTTTGGCAATGGGAATTTAAGATATTATTATTTGTAAGAGATTTGGATGAACAACAGTAAAGAAAGATGTAATCTTATAAATATTTGAAGAATGAAAAATGACTACAAAATTATTATGTTGTAAATACTTTTCCTTTCAGTTGACTTGGGCTGATTTTGTGTTCGCTGGATTTTACGAGTATTTCAAACAACAATCTCTGATTCCGGATATCGATGAGAAATATCCAAGCTTCAAAAAGTTGAGGGAAACCGTCTCCAGTCTGCCGGCGATCAAAAAGTACTTGGAATCAAAAACGAAATAATTTATATAACTCATAGTTTGTTACTTTGTTATTAAGTAAGTAAGTTAAATTGTAAAATAAATTAGAAACCTAAAAAAACTAATACTCTAATATTTTTATTATATAATATTTTACAAATTATGACAAGATAAAAAAATATGAAATAGCGAAGCGACCGTTGCCCATAGACATACGGAATTTCATATGCATTGCCTACCTTTAATAGACGGAGGAGAGGTTGTACAGAAAGAAAATATTTTTCCTTTCCGTGCATCCTCTCATCCGGAAAGTCCATTTCCACTTCCCGTCCTTTCCTTATAAGAAAAAGGGTGGAAAGGGAAAGAGAACTAAATTAGGCATCCGAGACGCACACTCATCAGACTGTAGTTGGAATTGCTTCCACTTGAGGCGTGTCTTCTGTGTGGTCGTGGTATTTCACGGCGGGCGAGCCGGGACAATTCGTGCGAAGATGTTAAAGCGGGCTCTACCACTGTTTGCAGTTCATTTGTCGAAATTATAATTATGAATGCGCAATAATTTTGTATACAAGTTGTTGCCCGCGTGGAATTACAATGAAATCCATGTAATCCCACATACATATTTAACTTAACGATTAAGCGCAATTGACATATACACGCTTATGTAATTTTATAATTTAATTATGAAATTAGATGATATAAAACGTGGTACAATATATTTTTTTTAAATATTAGCAGATTTTTTTGTAAATTTACTAATATTTCTTTTACCATTCCAACTAAGCTCTAGGCTTGTGCTAGTATATGGTTTACGACAATAGTCGAATGTCGGGATTCGAACCCCCGACCTCGTGGTCGGAAATCTGTACCCTTAACCATTAGGCTATTGACGCTTAAATTATTTATATATATTCTCTTAATACTTCCATTTAAATATGAATTTGAATAATTCATTTAAAAACAAAACAAAAACCATTTTTAAAATAAAATAAAAAAATGAATTCATTAAACCTTTATTATCCAATCATTTTAAAACAATTCCAAAGAGACGATTAAAATAAAATAATTATAACAAATACCACTTTTTTTCCTTTTTTAAATGTTTTCAAATTTTTTTAGGCTATTTTTTATTTATTACGAATTTCTATATTGATGATACATAAGACAATAAATACAAGCGAGACAAGAAAAATGCGAAGTATTTTGGAAGGCATTATGGAAGACCTACGTCCAGGACATAGGCTAATGATGTCATACTGGGATTTCTTATCTCTAGTTTTACAAAGATGAATGAAAGGTATGGCAAGTGTCACTGTAGAGTAGTAAGGGTCAACATGGTCCTTCATACAGGACAGTTAGGCAAGGGTTGGCGCAATACATGCAACCCCTGTTTGAGTATGTAACGCCGTCAGAGCCGCAGACCGGCTGGTAATCAGCGGTGCAGGCGCAGTTCTGAGCATATGCTGACTGCAGACACAACAGCAAGCAGATAAACACTGAAACAATTTTTTTTATATATGCTAAGGTGGCAAACGAGCGAGCGGCCACCGGAAATCGGTGAAAAAGCCAAGCGACCGTTGCTGATAGACGTACGCAATTGCGGATGAGTTGCCCATCTTTATCGATGAAAGAAGGGAAGCACAGAAAGAGAATACTTTCTCTTCCAAAGTATCCCCTCATCCGGAAAATCGACTTTCACTTCGCATACTTCACTCTTAAGAAAAAGGGTGGGAAGTGAAAGAAGACTAAATTAGCGCTCCGGGACGGCAGCCTAATTGCCGTGGTGTTTGTATCGAAAAATATGATCTGTTGCTTGAGAAAGTGATCGAATAATCTTATACCGTTGGTTTTTTATATACAAAAGTACATATTATAAAACGATTATTAATAGACGGTTTCTGAGACAAACATTTCTGAATGAAACATATCGTCATCCTTGTCTTTCATCTTTGACAAAACAGAGATAACAATATGTTTTAACTTTGTTCTTTAGGGATGTTGGTCTCAGAAACCCACGGTCATTCAGTGTGATTAAAGCAGTTAGTAGATAAAAATAAATTACTTACCAAATGTACGAAGCATCTTAAATGCAATATAATTTCAATTATACGATGATTTTCAATACAGTTGCATTTTATAGCAACAAAAACAATGCAACAATTGCAATGCAATGTAAACATTCGTATAGTTCGTATTGTTAACTTTTATGAATAAAAATAATTAAAAAATACAAAACCTCTCTTAATGCTATATTTGTTTAAATGTTTTATTCATAATTTGTGTAAATAAATTGATTGTCGCTTATTTTTTAAAATAAATAAAATGCAGCTTTAAAGTGCATGCTTCAATATTATCGTTTTACTAAATATGTACAGTCAGCTGCATGAATGTATACATATACAAAGCTACAGAAATTTGTAAACGTCTTCGGTTTATAAAATATGTATGCACGTATCCATCCTTATGATTGCAACTATGAATACTTGGTAGTGACGAAAACGTGCTTACGTGTACGTTTGTATGTTTGTTTAAACGCGCTAATTTCAGGAATTACTGGTCCGATTTGAAAATTTTTTTTTGTTAGGGCCTTCCTCTAGAAAACGACTATAGAGGAAGGCTTTAGGCTATATAACATTACGCTGCGACCAATAGGAGCGAAGTGTCAGCGGGTAATTATGTCTTTTTTAATACCGCGCAGACGGAGTCGCGGGCGACAGCTAGTGCGTACATATTTATGCAGCTTACTGTACATAAAAGACGCGGAGTACAGACTAAACTGGATTGGACGATATAGGTTACATTATTCCTATGTCATAACTTTGATCAAATATGCCTTTCAAAAGTCGTGTGCTGTTTTTTCATCGATTACTAACAGAAATCGATCATATATCGATACCTAAAGTTATTATAAAACTGAATTGCCGCAAGTAAACTAATATTGTGTACATTAATGTCTGCAATATTTGAATAGCTGAAAAAATGCAAACAAACAACCATTTTGTTATTGTGTTTTATTTTTTAATTTAAACGACGGTGACTCTGGGGTTAAGCACTTTTTTTTCAGAGGGGAATACTTTATGCATTCTCCGCGCCCCGGGTTATGTGGGTCGCCTACGCAGTAGTTATGTGGGATTCTCTGCCGGATGGGAAGTATAACCACTAAACCCCTCTGTTCCTCCTACGCATCATGGCGAGGCCACGGGCACGCTTGCGCTTTCGTCTGCGACATCGCCTGCGACAGCTGCCGGAGCAGCTCCCACTATAGGGGAGTGGGGTTAAGCACTAGTAATCTGCAAGTCCTGGGTTCGAATCATGCCATGCACCAATGTGTTTTTCGATTTACATTTATCCGACGGTCTTACTATAAGGGAAAACGTGTGAATTCAACCCTCACTGGACAGCGTGGTTGACTATTGCCTAGTCACCACTAACATAGTTGGCTCCGAATCCCTCAGTGGAGACCTATAGTGAGCTGATAATGATTTTTAATCACGTTTTTTTTAATTATTCAAAATAAAAGAGATAAACCATGCTCATTAAAGAAATTCTTGACACAATTTTTATGAAGGTTTGTTAAGAAAACGAGATAATTTCTAAAACATGTATTCCATTTTAAAAAATACATTAAAAAAAAGTTATAAATATAACTAATACACAAGTTTATAAAGTCCTGGTTCATATGTCCTCGGTCGTATGTCATTATTCCTGCAGGGTCCTTGTCTGATGACCTTCAGATTGGGCTTATGACATCTCATGCATTGCGCGTTGGAATAGGTGCGCCCATCAGAGGCACACACCGGCCAGTAAACGCGGGGGCAGGGACAAGACAAGCCTGCAGCTATTGTAGCTAGCATTACGAATAAGAGGACTGAAAGAAATATGGGTTAAAATTAAAGGTATGAATAGGTTAATTTACTAAATATTATAAATGCGCATGTATGGATGTTTGTTAGAAGATATCTCAAGAACGGCTGTATGGATTTATCTGAAAATTGGCATAGATGTAGAACATGTAGGCTACTATTCTTTTTTTTAAATTCCGCGTGGGCGGAATCGCGTGTGACTGCTAGTAAAAAAAATTAAATAAGGTAAAAAAAAGCAATAGAGACTGATTGAGAAATAGATTATTATTAGTCGGTTTTTAACCTCTGACTAAAACCTTTAACTAAAATCTCTGTGTAAAACCTATCGTCATCCCTGTTATTTAACAAAATAGAGATAACATGTTTCAAACAGGGATTGTGGTCTCAGAAAGTCACCATAAGTCACGTAATACATGGATAAATAGTCGGGTTTCGAGACCATTTTCAGACCCCTCAAGGTTCCGCAATGAAAAGGGTTCATTTCGACTTGCTTATGTAAGTTATAGAGCTTGTTCTGTGGTCGCGTTGAACCTTGGACCACTAAAGAGGTCTACTCTTTCAAAGGGTCTGAATTTAGTCGGTGCCGGCACCAGACTGACTATTCGTAATTTGGGTTGTTTTAAATTAGTTTGCATTTATAATTTTACAATTAAAAAACATGTTAATTAATCGAATACTGTAGCTATCGGTGTAAAAAATTGATAACTTACCAGTTTTTAGTGACATTATTTTGCTATTTAATTATTTTAAAATATACAGTCCTTTTGGTGCGCAATTTTATTTTGTTTAGCGTTTCAATTAAAACAACGTATTTATAGTCGGTATAATGATAAGCCACTTAATGATTAACTCACAGTAAACCATTAACCTTTATTTAAGTAAGTGTTTGTTTATTGATTTCTCATTCTGTATGACAACGGATTCGTTGATAGATCTAGGGATGTGTCATTATTATTATGGGTTTTCACTGCCGAAAAACATATAGCCATTCATTTCTTTCTACAATGCGTTTGATTTTTAGTTGAAATATTGTAGATGTTTAAAGAAAAGTCTAGATAAAATAGTACTTCTATTTATGGGAATCTTGGAACCGCAGATACATTTTTCTAGGTTATGTGTTTGTTTGTTTCTAAAGCTATAACAGAAAGCGTGATTTGTTCAGTTAGATATTTTGCTATAATTTTTCATCAGGCGCCGGTTCTGACAGATACCTTTTGTTTTGTACAGGTTTTGTTATTGGAACT